TACCATTCCAAGCACCTTGTCCACATCATCAGACCACTATAACTGAAACTCATCCAATAATGATGGGCCAGACGGCACTCTGGACACCTCCTGTACTGGATTCAGATCAACTGTGGAGTCCAGATTGCGGTGAATATGAGCGACTTTTTCTCTAAAGTGCTGGGCAAAGTCATCACAGCAGGCTGCCGAAGGTGCGATTAAGTGATTAAGAAAACCAGATTAAGTGTGTGACTTCTTTCATGGGTTGGGTTGGTGACATGTTGAGACAGCCCCATGGCTGTCATGGAAGCCATGAAGTCCTGAGCCGCCCCAGCCAGATCCACCTCGGCATGGATATTGAAGTCCCTCAGGACCAACTTCTTAGGGGTGCTCAACACCAGGTCCGAGACGATCTCTGTCAGCTCGAAGGGAGTCTTCTGGGCAGGAGGGTGCACGGTACACCAGCAGAGTCCCTAATCTGTTTCGGTCGCCCAACACCAGGTACAAACGCTCAAGACCGAGTCTCGAAGCGACAAGAAGCCTCACAAGGGAAATACTGGCTCAGTGAACCAGACTGATTCCCCCTCCACTCCCCTCTGGGCATGACCAATGTTGCATGAGATATCCCGGTGGGCCTAATTGCCTGAGGGAGACATCTCCCCCTTTTCCCACCCAGGTCTTGGTAATACATGCCAGGTTGGCCCCCTCATTTATGATCAGATCATGTATGAGAGATGTTTTATTATGAACCAACCTGGTGTTTAACAGCAACACCATCACGCCCAAGAGCCGGCTGTTATTTCTGCCAGGAACCTTCTGGTTGGAGGAATAACCAAAAGAGGGGACTGGTATCAAACATTGGCCCCTCCTTCTCCTATGCTGGCTTGTTAGACCCCCAGCGCTATATCTACCCCTGCCCATAGTCACCCCAGTGGTGACGCCCACCTGCTCCCAACATAAAATCATCCTAAATTAAAAACAAATAGAACAGTCGCCACAAATGAACAACAATAATAACCAGACAAAAAGAAAAAGAGTGGGGGGGGGGGAAGAAAAAAGAAAAAGGGGGAAAAAAAGGACCAAAACCCCAGCCCAGCCTGGCCCCTCATGGCCCCAAACGGTCTGCCCTTTGGCTGTAGTCCCAAGACCGCCTGCCCTGGCTGCTGCTGGCAAGAAAAGGGCTCCGGCTGCCCCGCCCATGCACTGTCCTTGCGCTGCCCGCCGTGCCCGGCACGGCACAGCCTGGCACGGCTGCCACCTGTGCGGAAGGCCGGGGGAGGGAGGAAGTGTGTGCGGGACCGCGGAGGCCCTGCCAGTGTTGTGGAGAACGGGGGCAGCAGCGGCCTAGCCCAGGTGCGTCCCAGCAGCAGTGGCGGATCAGCAGCGAGGGAGTCGGGATGGCCGTCCAGCGATGTCTCAGTCCCCGGGCCGATGTTGGAAACAGTCCCTTTTTAGACAAGCTTTCTTTGTCTGGGACTCATAACAGTGGTGGTTTAATTTGTTGTGCTGGATTAAAAAAATAAGGATAAAAGCCCCTTGTGTCAGAAAGTGAAATAGTATTGGTGAAGCTCAAATAAACTTTCTAGGTTCTGGAAGACTCTTGAAACATTTAGCTTCCTTTCCATTTCTATGTAGGCTTGAATGGGAATATTCAATCAGTTCTCCTTTTTCTTCTGTGAGAGAAAATAAGGCAGAATCTTTGAACAGACAGCTGAGAGAAAGTAAAAGAACTGTAGTAAACTGTACGGTTTGTACCAAGTATAATCTGATGTTGATGCCACCATTGCCCTCAATAAATAGGTCAAGAAATAATCTTTTGGCATTTGCTTCTTTAAGATCTTGTGTTGTTAATTGTTTCAGACCACAGTGTAATAGAACAATAAACCACAGAAGCACAGTGTGACCATCTGGTGAGAATAACAGTATGTTTCTATACATGTCTACTCTGAAGTAATAAACATTGAGATGAATTGGCATACTTCCAGATAAGTATGCAAGCTAAATTGTTTGAAACATGATTCACAAGTTTTATAATTTGCTTATGTTAGTATGTTAAGCAATGAAGGTGTCGAATATGCAGGTTTTAGTTGCACTATGGCATGAACTTAGAAAAGTTAGAACAATCTTATCAAAATCTACAAAGAAATAATTATGAGACTTGGGGACAAGCAAGATTGTTTAATGCCATATTTATACAGAGATGCATTTAATAACAGTGGAAAATTTATTCAGGAGTTGATTATAAAAACAATGTTTGCATCCAAATAACATATTTGTAATGTTTATAGTGGTGTTTGGGTTATTAATGGGTTTATAAATGGAGAACATTATTTTGTTACATGTGGTGTGTGTGTATTTTAAAAAAGCATAAAAATAACTTGCAAAATAAACAAAATATTCATAATTTGCTTAGTCAATGGTATTTGGTCTAAAATTCTACAAATTTCCTTGTTGAAGCATTCTTCCTTTAAGATAGATCTTTTTACTAGCTAGTTTGTGCGGTAAACAAAACCAAAAGAAAATGCTCATGTTCTCAAGACAAGGTTAGGGGGACACACCTACATCTACCAAGTCTTTATTTTTGTGTAATGTTCAGGTCAATAAAAATATAACATAATATGAAAGCAATTCTGAATTTAACAAGGAGCTATTCATTAACATTTCCAACTATCACAGTGAGAATAGTATTGTGTGACAGAAAAGGATACATTATTAAAATGTAAACACAAAAACACACATACAGAAAGAGAGGTTACTGTGGACATAGAGAAAATAGGCAATCAATATGTAAGGAACACATTATTAACTTGGTTACTGTCTATTATGAAAAGGAGACTGGTTTGCTGTCTGAAGTCATAACTTTCCAAACATAATGACTATCAATCACGAGGTATCCTGTGGATCCTCATAAATCTTTATACAGAAGCCTCTTTTTCTTTTCTTCTTTTCTTTTCTTTCATTCACAGACTTTTTAATCAGTGCCTCTCCTGACAGACTGATTCACAAAAGAGCATTGCTGGCACAATGTTTTCACTCTTACTTGATCCAATCTACCCAGTGGGGCACATTGGCAGAGAAAATAATGACTAGGGAGCTGTTATTGTCAGAATTGTTAGACCTTTCTGATGAGTCTGTCTATGGTGCACAATGATCAATGAAAACAATGCATGGTATTTTGAGGCTGTTTCGGAAAGGTGTACCTAGAGAGGCCTCCATGGCCTGGAAAAAACAGGGTATACAAACAGTTTTTTTTTTTTCATTCTTTGTGAGCTCTTGAGTGTTCTGGTCAATGTTAAAAAATGGTCTTGAAACCCTTAGGAGCTATTCTTGCCTAGTTTTGATGACTCCAGACTCAGGTAGTGCATATGCACAGGAGGGAAATGGGACAAAGGTGTGAGTTCACGTAGCTGTCTGTATGTCTCTACATGGGAACCTGGTTCACATTGCACAACAGTCCATCTGTGACTGTTAGGTCATTGGAACTCAGCCCAATTAACCCAAGATAGCCTTTTCTTTTTCTCCAGAAAATGCCCCTGAAATCCCAGATGTCTGAACCTACCATGGGTAAAGTCCAATGGCAAGCAATATGTGAAACAAGAACAGGAAAAATCCTCACCCCTCTTGGCAATATAGCCTCGTATGCTGCCACAAGGAACAACTGTTTTAAAAAGTCCCAGTTGAACACTGGCTGTTCAGCTCTTTTTTAAAAGAATACTTTCACACTGCAATTCTTCCTTCCCTCACTTTTTTGGTAAGTGCTTTTTATTGCTATACTTATGGTTGGACTTGTGCAAGTGCAGAGGTTTGCACTAGCATAGGTTCAAGGAAAAAGGAAGCCTTGATAGTGCACTTCTTTTTTTCCTTGATAGTGCACTTTTTATACTTTTTCCTGAGGCACTAGCCATTTGGGAAAGTGCAAAAGCGCATCCCTTTTTCTGGGAAAAGAACTTTGAATCCTTTTTAAAAGGGAGTTGGACAGTTCAATGTTATGTTTTGTTTTGTTTTGTTTTTCCCCATCAGAAACATATGGCTATTATGTGCCTTATCAAAGAGTCATGGAGCAGAGAACAACCTACAGTGAATCCAGTTTTCTGTCAGCTGTACTGTAGGTTGTTCTTGAAACAGTTTACCCACTGTGGCTTATTGCCAGAATGAGAAGGAAAGTCCACCCATGTTCATGGACTAAGCTTTTTGCATGGCTCCTATGTGCATACAGTTTGAATGTGTAGAGAGTCCTCATAAATGGTTGAGGAAACACATTATAGTCAACCATCTTCACAGTTCCTAACACACATATACTGTATGTTGTGACTATATAGTCTTGATTATAGCTCGTGAGTATAGAAGAAGCAAATACTTACACGTAGGATATGGCACAGCTTGCCTCTGCTCTTTCCATGCACAAATAGTCAGTGTGTATTTGTTATGCAAATAGTGTTTATCTTGTTTTTCTGAGCCTTCATTGATGCCTTATGAATGATGTTTCTTTTCCCTTTGGACTACACTGAATGCAATATTTAGATGTGTGGGACCTCTGTTTTTGGAATGAATGGTTGCAGCTTAATTTCACTTTAGATTAATATTTTCTATATTGACATATTAATTTTATTACAACTGCATTTTTATAAGTGCTACAACTTGCTTTCAAATCCACTTTACATTTTGTAACACAAACTATGGTACTGTCACCAAGTAGAATGAAGTTTATATGCAATGTTATTGGCCATTTCACTAAACAATATACCCAAAGCAGATTTTTCATGAAGAGTCATGATTAGAGGGCACTTTATTCATGGGGGACACTTCTTCATTAAGTGGTGGTTAGATGAATCACATGTCAAGATAAGGAATCCATTGCTAATATCCAATAACGTGATAAAATATGGCAGGGGAACCAAATTCTGTCAACAGGGTAAGTGTATTGATGAGCAAGAAAGCTGCAATGCCATATAAACAGTACACTTTCCAGGCTAATGCAAAATGAAGGGCTATTTATGGTTTTGTTTTGTTTCCTTCCATAGGGAGAAGCTGTCTGTGGCTCGGCTTCAACAGGAAGTTGCACGAAATAAGAGTGACGGAACAATGGTAAATTTTGACAATTATTTCTTTGGCATTCCACTTCCCAAACAAGCTTCAGACGTGATTGCTTTGTTAGAGATTACAACAAAAATATAAAAGAACAATTGACAAATGAAGCAATCCCAACATTGCTTGGAAAAAAAATCTTCTTTGGAGGTCAGGAAATGGCTAGGAATTCTTGGAAAATATCAGTCACAATTTTCCCTTTCCAAAATGACCATGTGAGAAATCATGCCAATTTCACACATAAATAGGCTACTTTAGATTAAGATTAGATATACCTGATTAGAAATTATTCATTACTGACAATGAAGGATGGACAAAGAAGCCATGCAAACATTTAAAAGATTGATCATGTTTATTTTTAGTCTTATTTCCATTTAGCTTTAGTTCACACTTTGTGAAATTCATTTTCTTGCCATTTTGACCTTAGATTACTGTCTTGATTTAACAATAATTTACAATGGATTTTACTATTTTAGTGAACCTCTTATACTTCAGCTTTATGAATTAGGCCTGCTTATGCTGACTTGGGAAAGCTTTTCTGGCATGAAGGTAAAGGCCTAGAATGAATGAAACATGAAACCAGGTTTTAGTGCTATCTCAATGAACCTCTGTGGGGTTGAGCAAAACCTCAGGCTGGTATGTTTCTCCTCCCTTCCCATCCTCCCACTTGGAGGACTATTTAACCAGGGTTCAGCTTCTGTGGCTGTCACTATGTATACATCAGGAGTCATGCTTTAAAATGAAGTCCAGTTATTAAAGAAACCAGCTTAAGCAATCCAGGGCATATACTTTGTTTAGCAATTGATTGTAGTTTGTTTTAAACCACAATCCCTGCTTTGTACATGGCAACAAGCCAGGAATGGTAGAAACTGAATCCTACTTAAATCCTCCTGACCATATGGGAGGAAGGGAGTAGGGTATGAATCAAATGCAGTTTCCTTAGGCTCAGTAGAAGCACATCTGTTTTGTGTTAAAGTATGATGGCCAATAGTTCAGTATTGGCTTTGTGTCCTCTAAAATCCTTAATGAAAAATAAGGACTGGAAAAACCAGCGTTTTGTCTTCTATCCAATATCTGTGAGCAAATATGCATGATCTCCAGCAGTGATTCAGCCTCTGTGCCAACCATGGTCTCAGCAAAGGAGAATGTTATATGAAAATCAGTGTACACTTCTTTATGATGAACAGGTAGTCAGGTCAGGTGAGAGTCCCTGGGCCACCTGAAAGCTTCTTCATCAGCCTTTGGATAAACTAGGGCACACATTCTTCCTGCCTATATAGTGCCTTTTCCTGTACCAGAATCTGACAAGCACCTATAGCATATATGTTGCATTTGTGCAAGATTATGATATTTGACTGGGTCTGATTTACTGAAATTTCAAAGAAATTGGCCTGAAGTGAACTTTGGGATTTAGCATACAGATTTCACATCTGGAAGTCCTACCCCAAACTTGATGTATATGTGCCTGTATGATGAGCAATTTAGCCCATTATCATTGATTAATTCTGTTTCCTTCCCTTTGTGGACGAAAAATACTGATAAATATATGTTTATCACAATGAAAAATACTGAAAATTCAAATAAGAACTTGCACTCGTTGTGCCAATCTTCTGTTTGAAGGCAGTGTCACAATCTCTGATGCAAAGTTTGTATTGCTGGGGGAATTAAATTAGCAAATAAGATTAGGTTGTCAGAATATACTATTCCTCCTGTTGGAATGAATGACAAAATTTAGCACATGCTAACAGTTATCATGGAAGTGCCACTGAGAACAGAAAAAAAGTTTCTACTCTCTATGTGTCCATTGTCTCAGAGCTTGTGCCAGGGACGTGCAAATCTCAACTCTTTCCCTGCAAGCAAAGCATACTTTTCTTGGCACTTAAGTTTTGCTTTCCGAACAGAAGAATGGATGCCTCTTCTCTATGAAGTAAAAACAACTACTACTACTACTACTACTACTACTACTACTACTTACTATAGTGTTCATGGGGCCCCTTATGTTTTTGCATATTGCAACAGAGTACCAGTTTGGGGTCCATTGAAGCAGTATGGATGCACCAGTTGCTGGTGTATATACTTTAATTAAATGTTACTTCACCATAGATTGGCTGGCACACACATGCACTGTGCTTTAGGCAACTTACGGAATTCTAGTAGTGGCTGCTTGAGCAGCAGCTGCAGCAGCAGGATACTAATTGCAACCAGCATCTTTCATAGCTTAGCCACTTGTGTGGTCTGGCGTTAGCAAATATCAGGGCTTGTCTCTGTGATGATGCTGTCTCTGTTTCTTAGCCCCAGGCTGGAGTAGTTGTATCCTGCCGTTCCTGGTACCCAGTGGTAGGTCTCATGCCATCACGATTTAAATCTGAACACTGTTTCCCTGCCTACTTCAGCAGCAGTAATACATCCGTTTACATTATTGCCTTCTTTATGTACAAAAATATTGTAAACTAACCACAGTGACATCCTCTGGGCCGACAGTCTGTTCTTTTTAAGTTGTATGCAGATGTCAGTGATAGCAAGTGAATGAATGTGTGGGTGCATAAAAAGAGTTTCCAACAGTTTGTTCACAGGTGACCATGCTAATTATATAGAAAATAGAAACTTGCCTAGATGAAACATTGTTTTGATCTGTCTGCATATGGTGCCGATGAGAAAAGGTTGCAGAAGCTTTGATAACTCCAAGCAAGCACCTTACTTCAACTAGGGCTGAAATAAGGACTTTAAAGTCTCTTTCGGTCCATTTCTCTTATCCTCCATCCTCTATGATGAAGAATGCCAGACTCTTAAAGAGCCAACCTTCCAACTTGGAGATGAATGTTTCTCCTCTGCTCTGTAGCTTTTGCTCCTGATTATCTTCCTGTACAGCTGAAGTGGTAGGCATTTGTCTTGTCACTGGTTCAATAGCACGTGGCTCAAGAGAAAGGGCTTGTGAGGATCCTGGCTCTGAGTCAGTGTATTGAGCTAGTCCAGCTGTTTAGATGGCATTTCAGCAGTCTCAGGCTCAGCTAGCTTTTCATCCTCCTGCAGTCCCAACTCTGAAGCCAGGGCTGTGGCTTCATTCCTTGCCCCAAGAGCTCTTCTGGAAAGGATGGGCATGTGAAGGCAACAACAAAAATATTGTACTGGATAGATTACACTGGTGATGATAAAGCATTCTAAGGGATTTGTAATCCAGGTTGAGTGGTCATAGGTGATTGGTAGATATTTCTCATCCAGATTGGGAAGGACTTGAGTGGTGGTCATAGGTGATTGATGGACAATCATACTACATCTGAAACCTGGAAGGATTTACTTGCCAAGTGTATGTATGTGTTTTTTATACCTCTTTCAGTAGGGTTAGTGGCTGATGTAGATCTGATTGGATTACCAATAATTCAGTTATTATTTTCTTGGCAGATACAATTTTTGAAGAAGGGAAAGTGACTGGAATTAAATCCTTAATTAGCAAAGAAGGAGCAATGGTGGCTTGAACTGTGCACCATGTTGTATGGGAATTTGGTTATGGTAAACATGTGCTCAGTTACTATGTAGAATCACAGCAGTGATACTATTCTGAAGTGTAGTTTGTGTGTTTTTCTGCCAATCTGTTCATAGGTGATATTTATTTGGTTTTAAATTATTGTTAGTTCCTTTAAGGGTTTACTGATGACTGTGTATTTCTAAGAAGCTGAAGAGTGCCAGAACTTGGAAATGAACTGAGTTTCTCAATCTGAAATAAGGTGGATATAGATGGGATATATGTTGCAGAAACAAACTTTTTGTTTCCTTGGCTATTGGGATCTGCAGCAGGGGAGAAAATGTGCCATCTTAAATTTTTGAAAGCACATTAACAAATACCAGGGATCAAAATAATTGGACAAGAGAAGAAGTTGCTCCAGGTTTTCAGAAAGTGCCTGTAGGGTAAGAAACATGGCATAGGTATGGTTTTTACTTGCATTTAGAATACACAGGACATAGAATTTGGTACCATGATGGAGCAGTCCTTGACATCCTCTGGTTTTTGAATGAAAAATGATTCCTTTCCTTGCATTTCTTGCACCGTGCACTAAACCATGGTGCTTTGTTTGCTGATACATACTGATGGCTCTCTAAAACTCTTGGGTCTGGATAGTTGCAGGAAAGTGTTCTGTTGTAAGAGCGTTGCTAGTGTTGGTTCTCTTCCCCATGTATTTATTATTTATTTATTTATTAAAACCTTTTTTATGCCGCCCCATTCACTGAAGCCTCGGGGCGGCTTACAACAATAAATTAAAACATCATAAATAACATTTTAAAATATATACATTAAAATAAAATACAAATATACAATATAAAATAAGCCGCCCTGGCCAGATAAAATTCAATAATATTAACTTTTAAAATGCTGCTTAAATAAAAAGGTCTTTGCCTGGCGCCGAAAAACAAATAACGATGGCGCCAGGCGGACCTCTCTGGGGAGCACATTCCATAACTTAGGCGCCACCGCTGAGAAAGCCCTCCTCCGAGTAGCCACCCTCCTAACTTCTTTCACGGAGGGCTCCCGGAGAAGGGCCTCTCCCGCCGATCTCAGGGGGCGGCTGGGCATATATGGATGTAAGCGCTCCTTCAGGTAGCCAGGACCCATGTAGGTCCTGCACCTGCCCGTTACATGGGTAGTGGCTCACCTGACCTGACTGGATAATGCTTATGTCACTGTGACAGATAGGTTGGAATTCTGAACATGACTTGCACCCAGTTTAACCTTTATCTGGAAACTCAAGTTAATCACTTCAGGAAGAGCTTCTCAGCCCAGGGGAGCTCATCTAGAAATCATGTTGTAACTATTCAAGGTCTGACCCACCAGGGTAGGAGCATTCTAATTCATGTCCTGGGACAAATGGCAGGGGCAGCTGCTGTATCTTGGTGTAGCTCTGAACCCTGTCATAGTTGACAGATGCCATAATTGATAGTCTCATTCTTCTGGGGATAGTCTGGAGACTGGGCTGCATGAGATGCCAGTTTTCCCATCACATGACCCT